ATATATATATATATAAATAAAGTGTACTTCTCTGGCTTTCATTTCTAAATCATAGCAAATAAAAATGCCAGGACAGCATGAAAACCCCCCCAAATGACCCATTTTTGGAAAGTAGACACTTCAAGGTGATCAGACTTTTTTTGGGGGGGGAAATGAAGATACATGCTGGTATTGAGGGGTATAAAACCTGGAGCGTGGTAATAGTGCACAGGATACAATAAATGTACAGGTTATAGACAGAGAATGGAGGGGGTGAAGGGGTTAATGTACAAGTCACATACAGTGGCAGGATGGAGATGAAGGTCTTAATGTATAGATGTGCAGGATAAAGGAGGTGAAAAGGTTAATATACAGGTCAGTGCATAGAGAGAATGGATCTAACATGAGGTGGAGGGGGGCGTTAAAATGGTTTGAAACTTTTTATTCCTGCTGCTGCAGCTTGTTTTTACTCTAGGACGCAATGCATGGAGGACATCTATTCTCTCCCCTGCCTCCAATGTAAGGGGAAGGATGTAAACATTGCCATGTGATAACCAGTCCCAGCGATCACAGGACGCAGAGCTTGTCTGATGGGCTCTGTGTCTAAAGTCGCTGTTCTCTGCTGTTTAATGACCGAGGGAGCAGCGGCCATGGCCCCACGCACACATGCGTTCACAGGAAAAGGGTGTACGGGTACTTCCTCCTGGAAAAATGTGCCATTTTAATACATTGGCCGGTCCACACGTGGTTAATGATGGGTGCTGTGCTCAAGGAGAGGGCCCATGGTGCCTGGCACTGACAGGCTTCCAGGTTGAGTGACTGGTTGTCAGTCAGCACAGTAGACTGAGGACATCTTGTGGCGAAGAAGAGGTACTGTGGGGGACAGCTCAGGATTCAAGCTGCGCTTTACTCCTGCTGAAGTGCCGGTTACACAGGTACACAGGTAAAATCACTCAGCCTCATAGTTCTAGCCGACCTGTGTCAATGAAATTGTCACAGGTCGGCTCAATATATCGGGAAGTGAGCGAACACATACCGGCGCTCGCTCACTTCTCTATCTATCCCTGCAGAGAGCCGTGACTGTCACTCACAGCTCCCTGCAGGGATTCCCGCCTCCCCTGTCCGATCCTCCAGCGCTGACTGGCGGAACGGACGGGGGAGTGGGCGGGTACAGCTGGCTCTGCCTCTTGATAGGCAGAGCCAGCTGTCAGTCACGCAGCTGGGTGGATCTCGACAGTAATGTCGGGATCCATCCCGGCTGTGTGGTCTCAGTATACCGGGAGCTGTAGCTCCCTATATACTGAGCTTTGGGACACGGGAGGACGCTAGTTTGCGTCCTCCCGTTACCCTAAGGAGAACTATTGGGAAAAGCCCTAACCCCATAGTTCTCCTTTTTAAGGTTACGCTGTATTTATTATAGGGGGCCTGAGGCTGGAGTTGGTTTTTCCTGTGTCTTCTCGCAGGGAGCAGGGAGGTGACACAGGAAGCTTCAATGTGGCACAGTTGAGTCTTTTTAATGTGTAAGGCGATGTGATATATACAACATTGATTTATGTTTTGTTTTATTCAGTTGATATTGATTTTTGTTTTGCCAGAGCTGGAGGCGTATGCGGGTGTTATTAGCGCCCTCCGTGCACAGGGCGATCTCAGCAAAGAGAAGAAGGACCTTCTGGGAGAACTCTCCAAAGTCTTGAGGTAGGGTTCCATTACTATTAAAGGGGGTCAAGGAAAATTGTATCATCAGGTGATTTAGAGGCAAAATTAGAAGTGCTTCTATATCAGGATGTCTGTCATGTGGCAAAATGAGTGTGTGGGTGAGAGAGGGGCGGGGGGGGGGGGGGGGGGGGGGGCTTAATGTGCAGCATTCAACCTCTTTAGGACCGCCAGACATACATATAGGTCCTCATCTTGAAGTCTTTGCTGCAGTAGCCATGATCTTGGTATTGTCTTTTTCAGCAGGCGATGCTTGTTAAGTACATGTGAACTGGGTGGCTGCCCAGGACCACTGCAATCAGTGTCTGTATGGAGAGCAGGCCAAGGAATGTCCATTCCCTGATCTGCTTTGTGATTGGTGAAGCAGGGAGCGCTGTTTCAGAACTGCCTGAAGTTGCGGTTGCACAGGTGATCAAGAACAATCCTGTGCTTGATCGTCTGTATTGGAGGGCAGGAGAGACATCAGTGGTCTAATAGACTCCAAATGTCTCCATAAAGAGAACCTGTCGCCTCCAAATGCTACCACATCGGAGCTTGTTAGCCCCTTTGTGATAGCAATAATGTTAAGTGACACCTCCCTGCTATCTACATGCGAATAAATGCGTGGCATAGGGCATGCACGTGTACGTAAATGACGCTTTTGTCAGACATGTTGGCTATCACTGTGAACATTGGAATGAAAGCAATAATTCTGGGACCATAATTCACTGTTAAATCTAAAGTGATGAGCATTAAAAGCTTTTAGAGCATCGCCTACGGTCAATTTTAAGTTCCATAGTTTTTCACCATTGCACGGACGCCCGCAATTTTAACGCTTGACATGTTTGGTATCTATTTACCTGACGTGACCCCGTCTTTTATATTTGACCAACAAAATGATTTTTATATTGTGTTTGTGTGCGTTAAAATTAATTTTATGACTGTCCTGGAAGATTCCTGGAAACAGAGTTATCAGGTAATCAACTCATGTTTCCCCCCCCCTAATAAACAATTGCACAAATAACGTGCAACATTAAAAAGAATGCAGCTACCATTTTTTTATTCTACAGGGCCTCTGCTTTCAGAAAATATCTCATTGTTTGGGGGTTTCAAGTAACTTTCTATCCAAAAATTTGGATTTTAACGTGCTTGCAAAATGAAAAATTGCTCCTGTACTAAGGTGGTTGTAACTGACCCTGCTGGAGGTATAACCTCTCACTTCCTGTCCTGGTGACATTGTTGTCACTGGAAGAGCAGGTGATGGGAAAGTTCCCCATTGGGGGCATAGTAGTAAAAAAGCCTGACTGAGATATAAAGTAGGGATGTACCGATACCAGTGCCGATACTTGGCATTTTCATGAGAACTACCAGGGTTGCAGCGGTTGCAGCTGGGACCGGGCTCTGGCGCTCCACCACTGTCCTGAAATCATTAGTCTGTATTGTTTTAGAAAAACTGTCACATGACAATAAACAATGTTTCAGTACTTGTGTCTGTGAGTACTTGGACAAGTATCAGTACTGGTATCGGTGCATCCCTTTATTTATATTTATACAAAAAAAAAATCATACATTATAACAGAGATGTAGAAATCCCGGGAGCTCCGTGTGCTCCTTACAAATGACAGCTGCCTCCTAATTTTTGAATATTTCTCTAGTCTGGTCTTGGAGCTGGAAAAGTATCTGTACTGAGTGCGGTACTTGGTATCTGAACTTCCCTAGTAAAGGGAAAAGTCCTACTGATGTGTAACAGATCAGTGAAGTATTATATTATCGGGGTTCGTTGTAGCTTTGCATTCTTGTGCTTTTATATTGTCTAATCCTCTTCAAACTGACAGTATAACATTTTATATTTGTCTTTAGTATTTCTACAGAGCGCCACCGCGCCGAAGTGCGAAGAGCAGTGAACGATGAGCGCCTCACCACCATCGCTCACAAGTAAGACTTGGACAAATGGGAAACCTCCATTTATATTCACATTGCTGGGTTTTTGTTTTGCTTTTTACTGTGAATTTATTATATTCATATAATTAGTGAAGCACTGATGCCGCTTTTTTGGTATCGAGTACTGATATTTATCTTTCGGTACTCGCCGATACCATGCTGTTTGGTTGGCTCAACGTTGGTTGGCAGGAAAGCCGGCTTCCCGGTCCATCGGAATGGAGCTGGCTACCCGGCCCCTCGGGAAGCCCAGAGGTGGGTCATTGCCCAGCTTCCTGATTGGCCTGGAAGCCAGCTCCAGGCTGTTTGCCCAGGAAGCTAGATTCCCAGCCAGTCAGCATGGAGTCGGCTTCCGGACCAGTCTGGAAGCTGGGCGGCAGGTCATGACCGTCTTCCGCACCAATCAGCATCAAGCCGGCCAATCAGAAAGCTGGGCGACAAGTAATTTCCCGCTGCCCGGTTTCCTGATTGGCTCCATGTTCCCTTGTGGCACTGCCGGTCTGAGGAAAATCTCCCTCTGAGCGGGAGTTCCGGTATCAGTGAAGGTATCGGAGCATTTGGGCGAGTACGAGTACTCCCACAAATACTGGTATCTGTGCATCCCTAATAATAATTGTAATATATATAACAGTATATTAAATTCTGATCATTTTCTGCACAACAGCTGGAATTTTACCCCCAGATGACTAGATGACAAAGGGGCTGTTGTTACAGGTTAAACCACTACTGTAAACCCCACAAGGGCAGGCACCTTGTGGTGAGCTTGCTTATTGGAGGAGAGAGCAGAGGGATGACCTAAAATAGAATAGAAACCTATCTATTTTCATTACATACCTTATATTAGTCCCAGTGACATCATCACTGGGTCTCTGTGCAATGCAGGCAGATTATGGCTGGGGGTAGGGGCCCGGCAGCATGCTGTGCATGGCTTCCTGCAACCATCACAGCACCCTGCCTCGGTACTCCTCAAGAGCCCTCTGCTCTGATTCAAGCAGTGGGCTGGCTTTTGGGTGGAGGTATGCAAATATTAAAATGGCTTTATAACTCGATGCCAGTCTGGAGTAGTGGGTGCTCCTAAACAGACTGCTTTTCCATGCATACCCTGGGTAACATTCACATGTAATGAAAGAACTAACATCAAATGAATGAAAGGGGCGGGGCCAGGGACAACCAAGTTGGGGAGGAAAGTGCTAGATGATTCTAGATGTCATCCAGCATGAAATTGAGACAGACTTTATTTGAATTGGTGCAGCAAGGTCACAATGTGCAGCGAAATCAGAGTAAAGCTAACCATACAAGAGAAATTACTCGATTTTCCCTATCCTTGCTAAACAGTGTGGATGGAGGAATATCCCTGGCTATTGTATTCAGACAGCTGGCACCTGCAGCTGTCTGAAGGCCTGAATAGTGACTGCGTCTCGCTGCAGTCATTGTTTGGCTGATCATTTTCTACCCAGCAAGAATAGGGGGGGCAGCTGAACTGACTATGGGAGACGCCTCAGCACGGCATCCTAGATTTCCAAAGCGGAAACGCAAGGACACAAACTGACCACGCCAGCATGGATCTGCTTCCTGGTCAGAATAAAAAAGAAACATGGAGAACTGGCAGGATCGCCAGGTATTATTTTTTTTTTCCAGTAACATGCACCTTAAAATCAAAAAGCCAAATGTTGCTTTCCATAACTTAAAGCTTTCTAAAGTGGACCTTGTAAAAAAAAAAAGAAGAAAAGTGGAACTTGTAGTAAAAATCTCAATGTATCTGGATCCCCTCCCTTATACTTAATAGCAGCATGAAAAACCTCTGCAAGATTTGGGATCCTCAGCTTTTGCGGGTAATGACTCGCCGTCCGACTTCCTGATTGGCCAGCTTTCCGACGAATCAGGAAGCCATGACACGCTGCCCGGCTTCCAGATTGGCCGAGAAGTCGGCTCCATGCTCCCGCGTCACGAGTGACGAGAGAGCATGGAGCCGGCTCTCCGGCCAATCAGCGTGTCATGACACGCTGCCCGGCTTCCTGATACCGGATGCTCAAGTATCGGGGTAGGCCTCGGAGCATTTGGGCGAGTACTCGGTGCATCCCTAGTAGCAACCTCTCGAATACCCCGTACAAGAACACTCAGACTGAGTAATGCAGGGCCAGTAGTGGGATGCAATCAGCTGTGCTCCATGCATATATGGTGACAAAGAATATGCTGATTGGAGAGGAAAGCAGAGAGATGTCTCCTGCTGCTCTTTCATTGTTCGTTCAGTAGTCTAAGGGTGGAGAGATGACACCATTGTATTCCTTCCTGCTGTCCCTGCACAGCAGTGCTAAGGTCGAAGTAGCACAAGGAGCCAATCAGTTGTGCTGCAGTGCGAGGGGCATGCTGATAGGAGAGAGCAGAGTGGCAGATGAGCTCATCCATCAGCTGCTTTACCTTTCACTGTCTAGTCACAGACTAGGGGAGGGACAAGACCTGTGAGCGCTACTGAACTGCAGCAGAGAACAATCAGGTTTCGTGCCCTGAAAGACAGGGCCGTGTTGTGTGGCAGAGCTGTATACATCTGAGAATTGGATGGACAAACATACAAATCCTGGCAGGTAAACTGGCACTCGAATATGTATTTTATCTTTTGTATTTAGTGGTTTGCCTTTTATTTAAGATTTCGTGGGATACCATTTATTGGCCAACTAAATAGAATGTATTTTAAGCTTTCCAAGCACGCCGGCCTCTTCTTCAGTTTAGTAGATCCAGTAAATGGTATCGTCCTGAATTCGAACTTTTGTGGATGGCGAATGCGCAACATCACTCTGCTGCTGCCTAATAATGAAATGGTATTGCAGTGGAAATATCAGTTTAGTGGGTGAAGGCCTCAAATGATAACCAGCTTCTGTTGTGCTTCTCTCTGTAGTGGTCGTGTGTTATTCATACACAAGTACAACATCAACTCCCACATCCACCCCAGTCCCCAGTGGAAGTGTGGCCACTGTCAAGTCTCCCCGGCCTGCAAGTCCAGCCTCCAACGTGGTAGTCCTTCCCAGCGGCAGCACAGTCTATGTGAAAAGTAAGTGAAGGCTTGGGTGGGTTTTTGTGGGTAGAATATATGTATGTATGTATGTATGTATGTATGTATGTGTATGTATCTCGGTATCTCTCTCTCACAGAAGTGAGTACACCCCTCACATTATTGTAAATATTTGATGATATTGTTTCATGTGACGACACGGAAGAAATGACACTTTGCTACAATGTAAAGTAGTGAGTGTACAGCTTGTATATCAGTGTACATTTACTGTCCCCTCAAAATAACTCAACACACAGCCATTAATGTCTAAACCGCTGGCAACAAAAGTGAGTACACCCCTAAGTGAAAAATGTCCCAATTGGGCCCAAAGTGTCAATATTTTGTGTGGCCACCATGATTTTCCAGCACTGCCTTAACCCTCTTGGGCATGGAGTTCACCAGAGCTGCACAGGTTGCCACTTGAGTTCTCTTCCAGTCTTCCATGACGACATCAGGGAGCTGGTGGATGTTAGAGACCTTGCGCTCCTCCACCTTCCGTTTGAGGATGCCCCATAGATGCTCAATAGGGTTTAGGTCTGGAGACATGCTTGGCCAGTCCATCACCTTTAGGCCCCATTCACACTGCGCAATTTGCATTTTGCGCGATTTGTCGCGCGATATCGCACAAATGCTTGCATTGAGCAAGCTTGAATCGCGGCTAAATCCGCTCCAAAAAGGGTCCTGCTGTAGCGACGCACGACCCGCGACAGCAGGACCCTTTGCCCCATTGAGAAGCATTGGAGAGCGATATCGCGGGAATTACCGCGCGATAAATCGCTAAGTGTGAACGGGGCCTTACCCTCAGCTTCTTTAGCAAGGCAGTGGTCGCCTTGGAGGTGTATTTGGGGTTGTTATCATGTTGGAATACTGCCCTGCGGCCCCGTCTCTGAAGGGAGGGGGATCATGCTCTGCTTCAGTATGTCACAGTACATGTTGGCATTCATGGTTCCCTCAATGAACTGTAGCTCCCCATTGCCGGCAGCACTCATGCAGCCCCAGACCATGACACTCCCACTACCATGCTTGACTGTAGGCAAGACACACTTGTCTTTGTACTCCTCACCTGGTTGCCGCCACACATGCTTTGCACACATCTGAACCAAATAAGTTTATCTTGGTCTCATCAGACCACAGGACATGGTTCCAGTAATCCATGTCCTTAGTCTGCTAGCGGGCTTTCTTGTGCATCATCTTTAGATGAGGCTTCCTTCTGGGACGACAGCCATGCAGACCAATTTGATGCAGTGTGCGGTGTATGGTCTGAGCACTGACAGGCTGACCCCCTCCCCCCCCTTCAACCTCTGCAGCAATGCTGGCAGCACTTATATGTCTGTTTCCCAAAGAAAACCTCTGGATATGACGCTGAGCACGTGCACTCAACCATGGCGAGGCCTGTTCTGGGTGGAACCTGTCCTGTTGAACCGATGTATGGTCTTGGCCACCGTGCTGCAGCTTAGTTTTAAGGTCTTGGAAATCTTCTTATAGCCTAGGCCAGTGATGGCGAACCTTTTTGAACCCGAGTGCCCAAACTGCGACGCAAAATCAATTTATTTATCTCAAAGTGCCAGCGCTGAAAATAAGTTTAGTATTGTATTGCAGTTTGGGTGCAACGTTCAACATCACTGCCTTAGGCAAAATAGAGAAACCCGCATATTCAAACATTAAGGCCCCAGTCACACTGAGCGACACTCACCTGGGCGGATTTCCGCGTGGCCAGTATAGCGCGTCTGTTCGGGCGACGTTCCAATGACGATTGAGCGACCTTCACCGTCGGGCTGCATGCAAAAATCAAAAAAAATTGCGTGACATCTGCGGGAAAAAGGGTCCTGCAGGGGGCTTGTACAGCTGTCAGGATAGGGGAAGGCTGTGCGGCTCTCACGGGGGATCCGAACGTCCCAGATCGCCTCTGTCGTCGGGCCGGTCACAATCAGACGGCGGCCTCTAAACAGGCAGATTAGACGGCCGCTCGCGGGGGCCTCCAGGGGTCCTAGCGAGGAGGAAGCAGCCGTCTAACCTGCCTGTTTAGAGGCCGCCGCTGCCTGATTGTGACTGGCCCGAATCGCGTACCAAGGTGATCCGGGTCAGTCGGATCTATTTCAATTGGTGGTCCCTGAACCTGGGCTCATGTGCCAGCAGAAAGGGCCCCGCGTGCCATAGGTTCGCCACCACTGGCCTAGGCCGTCTTTATGTAGAGCAACAATTCTTTTTTTCAGATCCTCTCAGAAATACACACTAATATATACACACACAATAAGGCCCCATTCACACCTGTAAGTTTAGGTGCGATTAGGGACTCCTGCATCAGGAACTTGCTTTTTTCCTGCAGCAGGAATTCTTAATCTGGTGTTTAAAAGCGGCAGCTATCGCCTGTTTAAGTTATTGATCAGTTGACTATGTTTTTTCGCCATGGTCCGTGTGTGTGTTGTAAAGTAGTCACCGCTCCAAGCTCGCTCCTGGGATGGACTACAATCTCATGCTTATTTTACTAATTTGTATTGAGATTGTAGTCCACCATGGGAGCGAGCTTGGAGCGGTGACTACTTTACAAAACACACACAGGGACCATAGGGAACAAAAGTAGCCGACCTCCAGAAGGAAGGACAGTGTCGGCAACGATACAGAGATGATTTGAGGATCTACAGCCGAGTGATACACAAATAAGATACATTCTTGTTCATAGTTAAGGTACTTGAATCCATTTTTAAGATTTGACTCCGGAGTTTTCTGTCCCTTTTAATCAGAGCCTGACCACAGTTTGTTTTGATTCATGACATTTTTTTTTTATATGAATTACCATTTCCCCTTCAGGTGTCAACTGCTCAGATGATGACGAGAAGCCTCGCAAACGCCGCCGCACAAACTCCAGCAGCTCGTCCCCCGTGGTCCTGAAAGATGTCCCCAAGCCTACAACGCCGGTCTCGAAAACCATTACAGTTCCGGTCTCCGGGAGCCCCAAAATGAGTAACATCATGCAGAGCATCGCCAACTCCCTGCCACCACATATGTCACCGGTGAAGATCACTTTTACCAAACCCACCACCCAGACCACAAACACCTCTACCCAGAAGGTAAACATCTCCGGCAGTAGCTGGCAGGGCTTCCAGAGTGGAGATACATTATATCAATGGCTAATATACTGTTTTGTTTTTTTTTTCCTTTCTTCCACTTTTTCTTAACAGGTAATAATTGTAACAACATCTCCAAGTTCTACATTCGTCCCAAACATTTTATCGAAGTCCCACAACTACGCTGCGGTCGCTAAATTGGTACCCACATCTGTCATCACGTCAACCACCCAGAAGCCGCCAATGGTCGTTGGCTCTGCCCAGTCCTCCGCCATTAGCAGTACCACCACCAATGCGCCATCCCCTTCTCTGCCTCCAGGGAGTATTGCTGTCACCTCTGTCGTCTCTTCAACACCGTCCCTGGTCATGTCCACAATAGCACAAGGTAAGTAAAACCTATGTAGACAAGAGTTCCACATACTGAGATCTGAGGTTTTTATGTTGATTGTTTTTGATTTCTCAAATGAGCAGCTCAATGAGATCTACAAAATAAAAAAGTAATATTAAAAACAAATACATTAAAATGCTTCCTGGGACTTCTGCATGTGTTTTCCTTTCACCCTTTTTCTCTGCGTTCAGCTCCTCAGACCATCTCACCTCTGCCTTCTATGTGCAGCTCAGATCATCTCACCTGTCAACTCTGTATACAACTCTTTAGATCTTCTCATCCATCTCCTCTGTGCGCAGCTTCTCAGACTTTTCACCCCCTTTTCATTCCCTTTTCATTCCCTTTTCACTGAGCACATTTGCTCTGGCTACTCATTCTTCACCTCTCCTTGTCGGCTCTAAAGCCTACTACTGCTCTCTTCTGTGTGCTGAACCTCTCACTCATCTGTGTACTGCTCCTCAGACCTTTCAGCCATCTGTGAGCAATTTCTTTGGCCTCTCATCTGCTCTGTGTGTAGCGTCCTAGACCTCTCACCCCTGTCCTTTTTTGTGTACATGCCTTGATACCATTCATCACTCTTCTGCATGCTTGGATTATACTATAGGGGTGCACCGATTACTAGTATCAGTGTCAATACCTAGTATTTGGGTGAGTACTCGTACTCGTCCAAATGCTTCGATACTTACCTCCGATACCAGAACTTCCCCCTCTGACCGGCAGTGCCAAGGGATCAAGGAGCCGGCTGCCTTTCCAATCACGAAGCCGGGCGGTGGGTTATGAGCCTCCTCCCGGCTTCCTGATTGTTTAGGAAGCCAGGCTGCTTACCAACAAGTGCAGCTGGCTTCTTAGCCAATCAGGAAGCCGGGTGGCACGTCATGACCCGCGTCCCGCCTTCCTGATTGGTCAGGAAGCCACGCTGCCTAGAAACAAGTAAAGCCAGCTTCCTATCCAATCAGGGAGGCAGGTCATGACGTGCCGCCCTGCTTCCTGGTTGGCTAGGAAGCCGGCTTCACTTGTTGCTAGGCAGCCTGGCTTCCTATCCAATCGGGAAGCCAGACGGCACCTCATGACTCGCCGCCCGGATTCCTGATTATCCAGGCAGCTTCTGAAGCCAGTGTTCTTTCGCTTGAACACTGGCTTCACAGGCAATCGGGAAGCCGGGCGATGGGTCATGATCCGCCTCCCGACTTCCTGATAATTGGGGCTCAAGGCACCAGGATCGTTATCGGCGAGTACCGAAAAACAAATATCAGTACTCGATCCTGAAAAACTGGTATCGGTGCATCCCTATTATACTTACTCAGTAAGGCCGACCGTTACAGGCATGACTCCCAGAGGCAAGTTGGGATTTGTAGTTAAAGCACAGCTGGAGGGCTGCCGTTGCCCACCCCTGTTCGAGAAGAAGGTGTTAGTTCCGGGATAGGAAGCACTTCTGCAGCCCTGCACCAAATGACCTGCCTGTTCGAGCTGTGAGGTGTCATGGCCGCCTTGACAGGTGCTCATTTAAACATTAATTCTTTTCACTGATGTAATAATATAGTTTAACTGCCATAAACTTATTTGTCCTGGTGCCAAAGCATGGACTAAAGTTCACTTAATAACCAAGGTAGGCATAAATGCCGTCGCGTTTCTTTGGAGTTAATTTTTGTTGACCGTCCTTTTATCGTTTTATCCAGGTGGCTCGACATCCATGGTGAAAGTGCCCTCCAATAGACTACCTTCCCCTAAGAGTTTGATCACTTCCCCTGGCCAGATCCTGGCACAGTTCCCGAAGCATTACCAGCAGTCGCTCAAACATCATATCCATCAAATACCGCCACAAGCTTCTCCGCTGTCGCAGCCGTCTACTATTACCCATCCAGCTCCCACTCCACCTCCTCAGATTCCACCGGGGATCAAGCCCACTATACAGATAAAGCAGGAATCTGGTGAGTACACGTCATGTGCATTAAATGGCAACAGTCCGGAGTTCTTTTGTGGATGTGGATGCTCACTGCCAAATTTTGCAGCAATTAATATGCAGCGTTAATAATTCTGACGAATTTTGCATAAGAGTGTTGAATATCATTTTTTTCTTTTTTTTTTCTTTTTTCTTTTTTTATTTAGCTTTTTCCTGTTTTGCAGGTGTTAAAATCATCACACAGCAAGTTCAGCCCAGTAAGATCCTACCCAAACCAGTGTCCGCCGCCCTGACTAGTGGCAGCAATACCCCCATCATGGTCGTCAGCAGTAATGGGGCCATAATGACAACTAAACTCGTCACCACCCCAAGCGGTAAGAGTTCTGTGTGACTATCCTGCATTTCTAGCACAGGCACAAGGATTAGGTGCTGGATATCAGAATTCACATCAGTCATCACTGCGTATATATGGGAAGTGTTGAGAGATATTGTTCCCATACAGTTAATTCTGTGCAAATAAACATGGAAGCCACACCTTTTAAGTGTGGTCCCTAACTGTAAACTATCTAGTTGTTGCTGCTGTATCATAAGGAAAGGGCTGCCTCCAGGTGAGCATGCTTCCTTTTTGTGCATGGCTACATATTCACCATAGTCAGATACTTGGATAGTTTTGGGTTAGGGAATGCACTTATCAGAGGTGCCTTGACATGGAAGAGTAGTACCAGCATGTATTTGCAAATGTATGCAACATAATTTTCTGTTATTAAAGGAGAACTATGGGGTCAGTGCTTTTCCCCATAGTTCTCCTTAGGGTAACGGGATGACACAAACCAGCGTCCTCCCGTCACCCTAGGCTCAGTATACAGCTCGCGGTATACTGAGACGCCGGAGCGGATCCCGACATCGATGCCGAAATCCGCCCAGCTGCGTGAGTGACAGCTGGCTCTGCCTATCTAGAGGCAGAGCCAGCTGTACACGCCTCCTCCCCCGTCCGTTCTGCCAGTTGGCGCTGGCGGATCGGTGCGGGGAGGGTGTCTCCTTTAATGGGAGTAGCTGACACTTTTTTTTTTTTTTGACTGTTTGTGTTTTTATTTATGTATATATATTAGGGATGCACCGATACCGGTTTCTTGGTATCGAGTACGCGTACCGGTATTTTCTTTTCCGCTGCCGTGTGCCCAGATTATCAGGAAGTCAGGCGGCATTGCCTTTGAAGCTGGTGTTCTAGCGAAAAAACAGGAAGGAACAATCAGGAAGCTGGGCGGCGAGTCATGACGTGCCACCCAGCTTCCTGATTGGTCAGGAAGCCAGGCTGTTACCAACAAGTGAAGCCGGGTTCCTAGCCAATCAGGAAACCGGGCGGCACTTCATGACCCACCTCCTGGCTTCTCGATTGGCTAGGAAGCCGGCTACATTTGTTCATAGGCAGCCTGGCTTCCTGACCAATCAGGAAACCGGAGGGCACATCATGACCCGCTGCCCGGCTTCCTGATTGGTCAGGAAGCCAGGCAGTCTCAGGAAGTGAAGCCGGTGTTCTTTCGCTAGCAGACCGGCTTCACAGGCAATTAGTAAGGCGGGCGACGGGTCATGAACAGCTACCCAGCTTTCTGATAATTGGGGCACACGGCACCGGTATCTGTACTCTGTATCGGTGAGTACAGGAAAAAAAATATCGGTACTCCTATTTGATACTCTTAAAACGGTATCGGTGCATCCCTAATGTAAACTGTTGGCGCTATACAATTGTATTGGAAAGGATGCCGGCTCTATGCTCCCTCGGCACTGCCGGTCAGAGGGAGATATCCTACTGACTGGAAGTTCTGGTAATGGAGGTAAGTATCGGAGCATTTGGCGAGTACGAGTCCTCGCCCAAATACTATGTATCGACATCGGTGCATTATATATAGATATAGATCTATCTAGATAGATAGATATATATAATGTGTGTATATATTTTCATCAAAATTTAAATATTGCATCTTTTAAACTTTCTATGCTTTTGCAATAATCCCTCCTTTTTGTTGTTCCTTAGGGACCCAAGCCACATACACACGGCCAGCTCTCAGCTCTGCACTCAGTGCTCGTATGGCGGCTACTCCCGGGGCCACCTATGTAAAGACAACCAGCGGAAGTATCATCACTGTTGTGCCAAAGTCTCTGGCAACACTGGGAGGGAAAATCATCACCAGCAACATTGTATCTGGTGAGTGTCATATAGGAAAGCCAACTCGGTAGTGATGGGCAGAAGAAACCGCTCGCTGATTATACCTGTTGCCTGTCTTTTTGCTCTTCCACAACCGTGTCGGTCTGTAATCTCACAGCACCACCTGCTGGATATAGAGCGCTCTGCATTCAGACTCAAGACAAAGGGAACAGTTTATAAAACCTGGAGGAAAGAAACCTGGAACAATAGTGCAGTTGTTGGCTGTAGCTGCCAAATAAATTCTTTGTTCTGAAAGATGAAGCCTGATTGGACGTTATGGGCAACAACTGCACATTATCAGCCCTTGTGGGCACAGTATTATTTCTAGGGTATATATTTCCTGCCAATAGGCAGATAGCCACAGAGAAGAATTGCTTCTCCCCTTGCACCAGGCATTTACTTTCCAGTCTGGGTTTAATGTCTGCTAGAGACTTAAGATTTATTTTCTTTTTCGCTAAATTAGGTTTTTAAATTCGTTTTTTTTTGCTTTTATCTGAAGAGTCCCTGGTACCACCGCAGAGTTTTAAAACTAGTACATAACGGCACAGTGTAATAAATCGACTTACTATTCATCATAGTTACATTTCCAACAGGGGGAAAAAAATTCCTTCCTGATCCCATAAGGCAATCGGATATTCCCTGGATCAACAATCTCTGATGATTAGATCAATAATCTCCGATGATTAGATCAATAATCTCTGATGCCACAATCTCATCCCTTTTTTGGTTTTTAAAAAAAAAGTGTTTGCAGACACACTCTAAAGAACCAAAAAATGACACTTCCTGGAAGTATTGAAATATGCCCACTCCTCCTTCTCCATTCCCGATCTTTGTTAAGGATTGCCTTAAGGCCACTGCTGCTGCATGATCGGGAGTGGGCTGAATCGATCAGTTGTCGGTTTAACATGCAAAGCCCACGTTCCCCATCTGTGTGCTGTTTCTGCCTGCAGACCGGCACTGCTCTTTTTGTGAATTCAGCCAAGCGCATCTTCTCACTGAAAATACACCAACAAAATGATAAGCGCACTTAGGGAGGTTCAAGTTGGATGTTGCTAATGTTATAAAATCCCAGCAGTGTTTTTAAAGAGCTTTGCCCTACTTGAAAGGAAGGGTCATAAGGGGCAATAGAAGATGACAAAAAAATAAGTAAAAGAACCTTTTGTGATGTTTAATGGGGGGAAAGCAAGAGGACAGGTTCTCTTTAAAGCAGAACTCTGGGCCAAACTGTTCTTAACCCTTTCAATGGGGCTACCCCCACACTGCAAAAGTTAAGTGCTCGTTTTTGTCCAGGGGCTAAAATAAAAAAGTTATACTCGCCTTATACTCGGAGTCGGTTTGCTCTTAGACTGGTCCCTGGAGCCTCTCTTCCCCCTCCGCTGCAGCGATATTAAGGCCCTGTGAGTCATCATGGTCTATACATAGGATATAGGACGTTAGGACACCGAGGGACATTCCATTGCTGCAGGTTGGAGGGAGTGCTGTAACAGCGGGCCAGATCCACGATTCGGGTGCAAGGGTAAAGAACTGTTTTGCCCCGAGTTATGCTTTAAAGTCCTGAAAATACTGACCCTACCTCCGGTGTTCTCTCCGGCGAACCTACCCACTCCCTGATATAGAGCCAGACCTCTCCTGAGTAAATGTCATTTAGCCCACTTCCTGTGAGTCCATTGTTGAGCTTTAACACTTTCTCTGACAGGTTTTAGGATTGGAACCGACCCTATCTCTTCATTCACATACTATATGTCGCTGAGGGAGAGGCAGAAGTTACCAACCCAATGCTGTAGCACTGAAAAATCACTTCTTAGCTGCAAATCGCCAGTGACTACAGCAATTTATGTTCCTAGCTGCAAGTTATTGTTAATCACTGGTAGTAGCGTTTTGTAGGAGCCATTAATCACTGCTACAAAGTCACCCATCTGGGCCTCAATGTAGACACCAAGCGGGTTTAAGTAGCATCTATAATGCAGAACTCTGGGGAAAATTATTCTTAACCGTTGCAGCGGGACAACCTCGGCACTGCAAGCGTTAAGTGCTCGTTTTGGTCTAGGTAGGAAAATAATGTTATACTCGCCTGATCTTCGGAGCTGGCCAGTTGTGACAGTGCTCCCTCCAGCCTGTCTCCTCTTCCGCAGCAATGGAGTGTCCCTCAGCATTGTCCTATACATAGTATACAAGATGTGACGACTCCGGGACCTTAGACCGCTGCAGTGGAGGAGAAGAGAGGCTCCGGGGACCGGTCTAAGAACAAGCCAGCTCTGTGGATCAGGAGACTATAACTGTTATTTTCCCTGTAGACCAAAACGAGTACTTAACCCTTGTACTGCGGGGATGGCCTACTGCAAAAGCTAGGAAGACATTTCCCGCAGTTCTTCTTTAACCTCTTGCTGTTCGCCCGCTAAGGAAAAACGGACGGACGGCGGACACGCATCAGCGGGTTGCCGTCTCCAGATGGCATTTTTTTCCTGCTTGCGCGCGCCCCCCTAGCGCGCATGCACGGGCAGGAAAGACCCGCTCGTTTTTACAGCCGCCGATCAGTTGTATGGCGCAATTTCGTCTCCCGCCCCCCCTAGAGT